TGTTTACGTCCAGCGGATATTCTCCAAAATGGCACCAGGGTGAAGCGGAGGAGACGAATTGTTGAATAAAGTCGTTTTATTTTTTTTTTGCGCACAAATAGTATTCTCGTAGTTTCGAAATAATTGCGGATGGACCGCTGATGTCACATGGATTATTTTACAGATCTCCTTGCTACGTTTCTGGACTTGGGAACATTTCAGTTGCGTTGCTGTCTATGCAGGGTCAGACAGCTCTCAGATTCCATCAAAAATATCTTAATTTGTGTTCCGAAGATGAACGAAGGTCTTACGGGTTTGAAACGACATGAGGGTGAGTAATTAATGACAGAATTTTCATTTTTGGGTGAACTAACCCTTTAACTGTCACCCCAAAAAACCCTTTTTGAACACATGAAAATTCACTATCCGAACTTAAATGGTTGTAATTCATGAATGCTTTGGAATACAGACCTAGGTTCTCCTAAAGAAGACAATCAGCAGACTATTGCTGAAGTGAAAACATTTCTGTAAAGAAAATGTACTGTACTAAAAAATAAAATAAAAGCCTAACTAAGTTATGTTCCAAATTTGAAGTTGATATCACAAAAATTGAGGTTCCTGTGAGATTTTGTTTAGGCGCCATACCAAAAATAGCCACCGAGTGACACCCAAAAATTTTTTTATGCATTTCTCCTGTCAATATCTGTCACAATATTACCTCTATCACAAAATAACCACCAAATATGGAACCTTGAGACTCAAATATGTTAGAAAGATTAGAAAACGTAGTAAATTTTGTAATGACACTTGAGTTGCCCCCCCATTTCCATGGTAACGCAATGTCCAATTTCAAAATGGTTTTCATTTAGAGTGTTTAAGCGTTTGAATGATTTTAATACAGGATGATTACTAAAATATGTGATAGGAAAAAAGGCAATAAAAAAAGAGCGCCACAGGTTGAAGATTAACTTTAAGTGTGTGTTAGATGACGAATAAATGATTTGAAATTACACTATTAAATATTCAATACTTTCTGATATTAATCAATTAAAAATATAATTGGTATAGTATCATGTTGTGCATCCCTTGTTTAGACTATTTAGAGTAGTTTATTGAAAAATGAAGACCTCAGTATATAGTCCAGATGTAGTCCATAATGATTTCTAATTTTCACAATGGAACATTTGCATTTGTTTCAGCACCTATTAATGGTCCGGCCAATGTGAATATTTCTGATGTGACACATGAATCAGCTGTGGTAAGTTGGTTTTCCATTCCTGTGGTGGAGCAGCGAGGATTTCTACAGCATTATGTCATTTGGATATCTGGACAGGGAAACACGAGTAAGCCAAAAGTTTATAGTATCACTAATCATTTATTTGCTATGGAAGTCACAGCTGTAGATCGTTTTTTTTTACTTGTATGACAAATAACCAAACCCGTTACAAACATATCAACACTGCATTCACCAAAGTAAAATATGAGGAGTAACATCTCTTGCTTTCTGTTCCTCTTGCTTTAGAGTTCCACAAAGTCTCAGCACATAAAACCAGCTTCCTGATCAAGGGCCTCCACCCAGGCGCCTCTTACACCATATCTATAGCCGGAAGGACAGAAGCTGGTACTGGGCCGAACTCAACGGTGAACTTTGAAACACACTCCAAAGAAATGGGTACTGAAACACAGTCAATGCAAAATGAGAAATGACTATGTAGAACAGAAATATTTATTTGCATTGTCTGCTTTTTGTCAAATAAACACAATGAGGTGGGAGAATATACCTGCCAACAGCAAATGTGTTCTGCCATTTCATCCAGGCTTATCATGGCAGGACCACACCATCCTGATCATCTGTGTTGTTGCCCTCTTGTGTACTATAATCTGCTCCGTAGCTGTCAGGAGGTGAGATCACCATAACCCAGGACAACTGATTGAGGAGCAAGATATATTAAATTGTACATAAGCTGTAGCTTGCCTGACAGGGCATAGAGCTAGATCAGTAGACCAAGGTCATGGATTAGACTACCAGGGAATACATGCACTAAAAAAAAAAAAAAATCTGGCTTTTCTAACTAAATTGTTGAATTTTTGAATCTTTAATCTGGTATTGGTGGTAATATTGACTTTACTCTCAAAATATTACAACTTTATTCTCGTAAATTTGAATTTATTCTCAAAATATTACAACTTTAATTTTGTATTTATAGTAATTTTAACTATTCTTAAAATATTACAACAAATATTACATATTGGTCATAATTTTGACTTTATTCTTAAAATATTACAGTTTTATTCTTTTTTATTCTTAAAGTTTTTAAAGGGTTAGTTCACCCAAAAATTAAAATTCTGTCATTAACCATTGACAGCAACGCAACCCAAATTCTCAAGATCCATAAAGGTACTAAAGACGTCGTTAAAACAGTCGACGTGACTACAGTGGGTCTACAATAATTTGATGAAGCGACGAGAATACTTTTTGTGCACAAAAACAAAACAAAAATAACGACTTAATTCAACAAGCTCTTCTCTTGTGTCATTCTCATACGTTGTTTACGTCCAGCGCTTCCAGGTTCTACTTCAGAACGCCGGCTCATTATTGGACGGCTCCTGCATCAGCATCACACGCATGCATCGCGCTGCTCACATGTGCAGCTTTGACCAATAATGAGCCGGCGTTCGGACGTAGAACACGGAAGCCTCCACTGTGCTTACTGCGTTAACCACGTAAGGATAATGACAGGGAAGAGAAGAGATTGCTGAATAAAGTTATTAATTTTGTTTTGTTTTTGCGCACAAAAATATTCTTGTCGCTTTATAAAATTATTGTAGAACCACTGAAGTCACGTCGACTGTTTTAACGACGTCTTTAGTACCTTTATGGATCTTGAGAGTTTGGGTGGCGTTGCTGTCAATGGAGGCCTCTCTGAGCCATCGGATTTGATCAAAAATATCTTCATTTGTGTTCTGAAGATGAACGAAGGTCTTAGGGGTGTGGAACGACATGAGGGTGAGTAATTAATGACAGAATTTTCCTTTTTGGGTGAACTAACCCTTTAAAACTCTTTATTCTCATAATTTTGACTTTATTCTTAAAATAATAAACTGACTGTCTTTCAAAAAGTTTAAATGGCATTTTCTTTCATCTTGTCTCTGTATAATGCATAATAAATAGTATTTATAAGAGCAGCGCTGCTTTGTTTACAGCGGTAACCAAGGAAAGCGTTTTCGTTTCGTTCAGATATGTTTTATGTAGTATAACTTTACAAAACTAAAGTCAGACCATGTTTGTTCTTCAGATTTCGAAATTATTCAATCCAATTTAGATTAAAAACTGCTCATGCTGCATTTATGCATAATAATAATAATAAAGTGCTAACCTGTCATTTTAAATGGAAAGCGCACAGGCAAAGCCATAGCTTGTTTATATGAAGAGATTTCTTTTATTTGTATTATTTCTTTGGGATTTGTTTTAAAATTTCAATTTTGTTTTGAAGAAATGTGCAGCATTTTCTCTGATAAATAATAAAAAGACACGGTTTCATTTATAATTTGTCTTAAATCTCATTTTGAAAAAAATAAAAATAAGAAAATCGTATCATGATAAATGTATTTACCTCTAAAATTTCTTTAACTGTCTCTTTGCTTTGCAGACTGAAGCTGTTACCTGAGGTACCCAGTCCTGTGTTAGATACAATAGAATTCAGATGTCCGGAAGAGCAGGTTAGCAACACAGACTGCTGAAGAATCGAAACCTACTGTATTTCCAACAAAACAGCCTCAATATTTGAACAAGGCATGACTGATTATGCGGCACATTATAATGACCCAAATTCCGAAATCTCCCTTCACTGTTAGCAGAAAGAATTCTGTGGTGAGGTCAAAATACCAACATGTCACATCAGCACATTTGCAGTGATGTACTTTAAAAGCAGCTTTAAGACTATAAAAAGAGTGAAGGAAAGCTATGTTGCAAAATCATCTCACATAACTTTACATAAATTATAGACTTGAACTACTAATGAAATTGACGCAAAATAAACGGAGGGTATATATTTTTATCTTATTGTCCATGAGTCATCAGTGCATGTAATTCCAAATGAGAAAATGTTTGTGTCGCAGGACCTGAGCCAGATGATGGAGGAGGTGCATGAATTCGTTCTCTTGCTACGTCAAGATCTAAGCAAACCCAGGGAGGACGTGACCCCTGAACAGGGCACTTTACTGCAAGACTTTGGGCTTGTCGTCATTGAAGAGGAAGATGAGGAAGACGAAGAGGGTGGAGTTACTGACTTGAGCTCTATGACATCCTGTTGCTATCCGAATCCTGGTTACAGAGGACAGACGCTACAGCTGCCAGAGCCTTTCTACATGACAGACAGCACTTCAAAAGACAATGACATAGAATCCACATACAGAAATGGCCTGTCCTTTGAAACAAGAGTCCTGGAGTGTGACAAAACGTCACTATAGTCAACAAGAACTGACTGGTAGTGACAAATAAACAAGCCTAAACAAACCTCCTCTATCTGCTGCATGTGTCTTCTGTACAACCAGGTGCAGTCAGTTATGCATCTTTAGATTTTTTAGCTTTTCTTTAAAGTGCACGTGAGACATAATACTGGAAATAACCCAGTTCAGAGAACAGTGTGCGATTCTCAGCAGTTACTAAGGTTGCAAACGCATCCTCGCTTTCAAGCTTTGTTGTGGTCACTGACGTCACCTTCTGGATTCTCATTATGTCTATGTGTGAAGCCTACTGTGTTTTTAATAATAAAGTTACGGTTAGTGTGCTCATCACATACAGATACATTACTGTTCAAAATTGTAAGGTTAGTAAAATATTTTCTAAGAAAATAAATACTGTTATTCAGTAAGGATGCATTAAATTGATGAAAAGTGACACACACACACTCACACACACACACACATAGATATGGGTATGTATTTACAGTTTTGTCCACTAGGGAGAGCAATTCAATCTCTCTGAAAAGACACTAGGGTTTTTACAACATTTAAAGGGGTCATATGATGCGATTTCAAGTTTTCCTTTCTCTTTGGAGTGTTACAAGCTCTTGGTGCATAAAGAAGATCTGTAAAGTTGCAAAGACTCTTGATATTTACTTTGAAAGCTGATGCTCGCGATTATGGTAAGGAGCGTTACATTTCCGATGCGCGCTTGCAGTGTTCGGCCAATCACAATGCACTGGTTCAGCTGGCCAATCAGAGCAGACTGCGCTTGTCAAAGGAGGGGGCTTTGTTGAAAACTACGTGTTTGAGAGAGGCGGGGCATAGAGGACCTACAATAATGTACAGTATTTGAAAAATAATGTGTTTTTTGAACATTAAAGCATGTCAACATATTCTGTTACACCAAATACACAAAATAATGATCTTTAAAATAGCATCATATGACCCCTTTTAAATAAACAGACATCACAAACCAAGAGTCTTTGGTTTTACCATATTAACCATAGTTACTACAGTTTATGTTGCTACTGTAAAGCCATTATAAATCTGTATGGAATCTACATCCATGGTGCAATAAGTTGAGTATGAATCAACTTTGTTTTCTTTTCTTTTTTTAAATCGACATATATTTATTTTTTATTTTATTAAATATTTTAATCTACAAATGTTATTTTTTTAAGAGTTACTGACATTTTAATCTATTATCAGATGTTTATTAACACTTATTCAACTATACTTTTTATTGTCAGAAAAAAGGTAAAAAAGCTGTCACTGGGGCGGTACCAGGGCTGGATTGGTAATCGGGTATACCGGGCATTTTCCCTGTGGGCCGACGCACATAATGGGCCGACAGAATGTTTTTTTTTTTATTTTTTTTACCAAGGACCATCACGCAGGGACAGCGAGCAGCCAGTGGCCCATTGGATTGTCTCCTGTATTAACAGAGAAAACAATCGCATTTTTATAGACTTCAGACTTGACTCAGACTCGACCTGAAATGACTCCAGACTTGACTCGACTCCAGGAAAAGGACTCGTGAAAATTTTATAAGCAACTCGAGTATTTTATCCTTAAATAACTGATATTCAAAAGGCGGACCGCATCCGCACCTCGGCATCCATCCGAACCGCGAGCCGTAACAGCACCATTTTAAGTGAACGGCACGTCAAAAAAGCGGAGCGGATCACATAACAAGCGCTCAGTGTCGTTTATGGTAAATATATTTCAGTGCTATATCCTCTAGTATTTTTATCAAAAGCCAAACAAGCTTTATTCAAGACCTTTCAGCTCCGTGCGCTTTCTCTCTCTCTCCAGACGCGCGCCAAGTTCAAGAGCTGCAGATGACACGGTTATTTTAACAACAACAGAAACAACAAAACACAGCAGAAAACAACAATGCTGCAAATATAGTTATTTTCATACTATATATTTATCTATCTATAACCTATGGCTCTGACTGTTCAAACCAGATGTGACCAGACGTTTCTGATCTACATTTAGCATTATTAATCTGTAGGCTAAGAACATTGCAAAAAAGAATCATGTAATTATAATTGGGAAAATTGTTATTAGATGGCTAGGATATAACGTAAACTTTGAAATTGTTAGTTATCTTTATTTTCTGCTCAAGATGAGAACGTTTTGATTATTGTAGCTACATTGTTTTTAGATAATGCTTTTAAGTAGGCTAAAATATTAAAATAGTATAGATTTCAGGAGGAAAACCCTGAACAGAATTTTTTTTTATCACATGGCATCGCATGTATCTAAATGTAAAAATGCAATACATGTATACAGGACGCTGAGCTCCGCGATTCTTCTATTGTTTTTGTTTGTTTGTTCTGTGTTTTGTCATTCTTCTTCTATAAGTTTTACCAGAGACGAACTCCTTAACATTAAGCAGCACACCCAAGACAACATTTTTCCGGTTTTTGAGCATATAAAAAAAAAAACATTTTTTTTTTGTTCGGACCTCTGCTTGGAAGAAAATATAGAGGGCGTGCCTTGGAACTTTAATTGAATACCCCTGACTTATATAATAAAGAAATACTTTATTTGTATGGTTTCGTAAAATACGAAAGATTTCAATACATGAGGATTCTGAATGAGATTTTTTGAGTCAAAGACTCGAGACTTGACTCAGATTCCAGCGATAAAGACTTCAGACTTGACTATGTTTTTTTAAAGAAGTCTCTTCTCACCAAGCCTGCATTTATTTGATACAAAATACAGCAAAAGCAGTAATATTGTGAAATGTTTTTACTATTTAAAAGAACTGCTTTTTATTTAAATATGTATTAAAATTTAATTTATTCCTATGTATCAAAGCTAAATTTTCAGCATCATTACTCCAGTCTTCAGTGTCACATGATCCTTCAGAAATCATTCTAGCATAATGTTACAAAAGATTTCAATTTCAGATAAATGCTGTTCTATTCATCATCTGAAAAATTCCACTCAGCTGTTTTCAACATAAAAATAATAAATGTTTTTTTTTAGCAGCAAATCAGAATACAGGTGCATCTCAATAAATTAGAATGTTGTGGAAAAGTTCATTTATTTCAGTAAGGGAGGAAAAAAAAGTTCGGCAGAAGACGGGATCGAACCCGGGTCGATCGCATCAAAAAGCCAACAACACGCATTGATCTATCTGCGGCACTGGAGCTGATGATTTACAGCCACTTTTAACTAAATGTAAATAGACACCCCATATTTTTTATTCCATAGTAAGGGCAATTCATACAATACATTTAAACTGAGTTGTTATTTTGTTTTTTAGACTTGCATTTGCGTTTGTAATTTGTTATTTTGTTTTCAGAATTGTGATTTGTTTAGCACTTCTCGGCCACCGTAGAAATGTCTTTAGTTAGAACAGCATCCTGCTGTAGCTACACATTCTCTGTCCCAAAGTAAAGTGCTGCTGCCCTCTGTCTTCACGAAAGTACCTTTGTGATTCTGTACTGCGGCTGCCTGCTACCTGTCTGTACTCCATGTGTTCAGATATACGGGAATCAATCACGAAATGAAGATCCACCTCCTCCGAATCTAGGATTAAAAAAGAAAAAGCACTTACAGGTACAAGTGTGGGTTAAAACATTTAACAAAAACAGAAATAAACCATTTAACTTAAAATTAAGCACAACAAATGGATTAAAATAGAATAAGATCAAGCTTTCACATCAGCAGTAGAGTGACAACTCTTAAAGAGTTACCATGGTAACCATAATTTTCATCAACATAGCAGTTACTACAGTTATTGTATACTGATATTATGTACATTTTAATAGTAAACTTGATATTACCCATCACTATAAATACATTTAAGAAAAATGACATTTACTAAATGATTTGCTATTTTAGCCAATGTTACACTTCAAGTAAAAATATAATAGCACATTCCTCACAGCCAGTAAACAGACAGACTGACATACAGACGGAGGTATATATAGAATGATAGATAGAACACAGAACAATAGAAAGATAAATAAAGAGATAGATAGACAGACACAGTTTTTGACAGACAGTCAAAAGTCTTAGTTAATAGTGAATATGTGTTCCCTAATGTGCTACCAAAGATAGATAGATAGATAGATAGATAGATAGATAGACTGGCATACAGATAGATAGATAGATAGATCGATAGATCGATAGAATGGCAGATAGATAGATAGATAGATCGATAGATCGATAGAATGGCAGATAGATAGATAGATAGATCGATAGATCGATAGAATGGCAGATAGATAGATAGATAGATCGATAGATCGATAGAATGGCAGATAGATAGATAGATAGATCGATAGATCGATAGAATGGCAGATAGATAGATAGATAGATCGATAGATCGATAGAATGGCAGATAGATAGATAGATAGATCGATAGATCGATAGAATGGCAGATAGATAGATAGATAGATCGATAGATCGATAGAATGGCAGATAGATAGATAGATAGATCGATAGATCGATAGAATGGCAGATAGATAGATAGATAGATCGATAGATCGATAGAATGGCAGATAGATAGATAGATAGATCGATAGATCGATAGAATGGCAGATAGATAGATAGATAGATCGATAGATCGATAGAATGGCAGATAGATAGATAGATAGATCGATAGATCGATAGAATGGCAGATAGATAGATAGATAGATCGATAGATCGATAGAATGGCAGATAGATAGATAGATAGATCGATAGATCGATAGAATGGCAGATAGATAGATAGATAGATCGATAGATCGATAGAATGGCAGATAGATAGATAGATAGATCGATAGATCGATAGAATGGCAGATAGATAGATAGATAGATCGATAGATCGATAGAATGGCAGATAGATAGATAGATAGATCGATAGATCGATAGAATGGCAGATAGATAGATAGATAGATCGATAGATCGATAGAATGGCAGATAGATAGATAGATAGATCGATAGATCGATAGAATGGCAGATAGATAGATAGATAGATCGATAGATCGATAGAATGGCAGATAGATAGATAGATAGATCGATAGATCGATAGAATGGCAGATAGATAGATAGATAGATCGATAGATCGATAGAATGGCAGATAGATAGATAGATAGATCGATAGATCGATAGAATGGCAGATAGATAGATAGATAGATCGATAGATCGATAGAATGGCAGATAGATAGATAGATAGATCGATAGATCGATAGAATGGCAGATAGATAGATAGATAGATCGATAGATCGATAGAATGGCAGATAGATAGATAGATAGATCGATAGATCGATAGAATGGCAGATAGATAGATAGATAGATCGATAGATCGATAGAATGGCAGATAGATAGATAGATAGATCGATAGATCGATAGAATGGCAGATAGATAGATAGATAGATCGATAGATCGATAGAATGGCAGATAGATAGATAGATAGATCGATAGATCGATAGAATGGCAGATAGATAGATAGATAGATCGATAGATCGATAGAATGGCAGATAGATAGATAGATAGATCGATAGATCGATAGAATGGCAGATAGATAGATAGATAGATCGATAGATCGATAGAATGGCAGATAGATAGATAGATAGATCGATAGATCGATAGAATGGCAGATAGATAGATAGATAGATCGATAGATCGATAGAATGGCAGATAGATAGATAGATAGATCGATAGATCGATAGAATGGCAGATAGATAGATAGATAGATCGATAGATCGATAGAATGGCAGATAGATAGATAGATAGATCGATAGATCGATAGAATGGCAGATAGATAGATAGATAGATCGATAGATCGATAGAATGGCAGATAGATAGATAGATAGATCGATAGATCGATAGAATGGCAGATAGATAGATAGATAGATCGATAGATCGATAGAATGGCAGATAGATAGATAGATAGATCGATAGATCGATAGAATGGCAGATAGATAGATAGATAGATCGATAGATCGATAGAATGGCAGATAGATAGATAGATAGATCGATAGATCGATAGAATGGCAGATAGATAGATAGATAGATCGATAGATCGATAGAATGGCAGATAGATAGATAGATAGATCGATAGATCGATAGAATGGCAGATAGATAGATAGATAGATCGATAGATCGATAGAATGGCAGATAGATAGATAGATAGATCGATAGATCGATAGAATGGCAGATAGATAGATAGATAGATCGATAGATCGATAGAATGGCAGATAGATAGATAGATAGATCGATAGATCGATAGAATGGCAGATAGATAGATAGATAGATCGATAGATCGATAGAATGGCAGATAGATAGATAGATAGATCGATAGATCGATAGAATGGCAGATAGATAGATAGATAGATCGATAGATCGATAGAATGGCAGATAGATAGATAGATAGATCGATAGATCGATAGAATGGCAGATAGATAGATAGATAGATCGATAGATCGATAGAATGGCAGATAGATAGATAGATAGATCGATAGATCGATAGAATGGCAGATAGATAGATAGATAGATCGATAGATCGATAGAATGGCAGATAGATAGATAGATAGATCGATAGATCGATAGAATGGCAGATAGATAGATAGATAGATCGATAGATCGATAGAATGGCAGATAGATAGATAGATAGATCGATAGATCGATAGAATGGCAGATAGATAGATAGATAGATCGATAGATCGATAGAATGGCAGATAGATAGATAGATAGATCGATAGATCGATAGAATGGCAGATAGATAGATAGATAGATCGATAGATCGATAGAATGGCAGATAGATAGATAGATAGATCGATAGATCGATAGAATGGCAGATAGATAGATAGATAGATCGATAGATCGATAGAATGGCAGATAGATAGATAGATAGATCGATAGATCGATAGAATGGCAGATAGATAGATAGATAGATCGATAGATCGATAGAATGGCAGATAGATAGATAGATAGATCGATAGATCGATAGAATGGCAGATAGATAGATAGATAGATCGATAGATCGATAGAATGGCAGATAGATAGATAGATAGATCGATAGATCGATAGAATGGCAGATAGATAGATAGATAGATCGATAGATCGATAGAATGGCAGATAGATAGATAGATAGATCGATAGATCGATAGAATGGCAGATAGATAGATAGATAGATCGATAGATCGATAGAATGGCAGATAGATAGATAGATAGATCGATAGATCGATAGAATGGCAGATAGATAGATAGATAGATCGATAGATCGATAGAATGGCAGATAGATAGATAGATAGATCGATAGATCGATAGAATGGCAGATAGATAGATAGATAGATCGATAGATCGATAGAATGGCAGATAGATAGATAGATAGATCGATAGATCGATAGAATGGCAGATAGATAGATAGATAGATCGATAGATCGATAGAATGGCAGATAGATAGATAGATAGATCGATAGATCGATAGAATGGCAGATAGATAGATAGATAGATCGATAGATCGATAGAATGGCAGATAGATAGATAGATAGATCGATAGATCGATAGAATGGCAGATAGATAGATAGATAGATCGATAGATCGATAGAATGGCAGATAGATAGATAGATAGATAGATAGATAGACAGACTGGCATACAGACAGATAGATAGATAGATAGATAGACAGACTGGCAGACAGACAGATAGATAGATAGATAGATAGATAGATAGATAGATAGATAGATAGGCATACAGACAGATAGATAGATAGATAGATAGATAGATAGACTGGCATACAGACGGATAGACAGATAGATAGATAGATAGAGTGGCATACAGATAGATAGATAGATAGATAGATAGATAGATAGATAGATAGTCGTTATATCGTTAGCTTTATAAAACACACCATTTTGTTTCTCTCATGGAAAGCTGGAGTCCATGAAGAAGATGTTGTTCTGACTCGAGCTCTACTCTAGCAGCTCAGTCTCTCCAGTCTCTCCAGTCTCTCCGGCGTCTCCTGCGTCCCGTGGCCAGCAGGGGGCAACAGATTACATTAGCATGAAGGAGTGGGGTAGGTCAACATGAGTGAACGCTGTAGTATTCAGACGGTGCAGATTACTTGAGAAATTTGACAATGAGGGCTCCACGGAACGCAACAGCAGTAGTGCACGCTTATTTCGTGCTTTTCAGCAGCGTGGAAATAGCGAGGCCGTTGGTGAAAAACTAACAGGACTATGAGGACGAGAAACCGAGAGCCAACAGAGACACTAACGTTAGACAAAGGAGAGCTCCATTTCCATAAAAACACTCCATAACGGAGCAAACAAAGCACAACAACTGTTTTGACACTTACATTGCTGTGTGGTTATCGACATATAAACAGGACAGACCGGACTGAAACCGAGCCTGCGTGGATCAGCTGGGAAAGAAAACTGGAGTGGTTGAAATTCACCGATTTAACGTTACTTCTGAGAAAATGGGGTGAGTTCACTCTCCGTTTACTACAAATGGCAGAAAAACGACGACGATTGTCTTGAACAGCGCAGATAACCTCTCTGTGTACGTTTAGAGTTAACACTTACTAGTGTGTGACAGTTGCACATTCAGTGTAACTTTAGTTCGGATCAGTATTTTTTGGACGGCGTAAGTTTGGAAAAGGCGAACGCGAGCTCACATTCCTGCTGGGTTTCAAAATCTCCTGCGCTGTCTAACTAGACAGCATGTTTAGTCATCGTTGTCCGTTCCGAGCCAGCAGAAAATGTCTAAAGTCATGCCCAAAAAAGCCACACGTCCCTGCAGTTTCCTAAAATGCCGTCTAGCAGTTAGGCAGCTCCATAGATGTCGAGTCTCTCTGTCTCTCAACTCTGTTTATGAGAAGAATTTCTTCAGGGTCATTCCGTGTCAACTCAACCAGAGGCCCCTGGCTCCAATTTTTAATTTTGTCAATATTTTTTTCTGAAGAAATATAAACATGTATAGTGATGAAAGCAAAAATATTAAATGTCATCAATGTATTTACTGAATAATCCACTATTTTGTAGAGGGGCGTCAAAATGACAATATTCACCTGAGATTCAGAGCCAAATTACAGGAGGGTAAAAACGACTTAAGGAAGACGGTGTTATTATATTATTTTTGAGTGTTATTATTAGAGCCCGACCGATATGTTTTTTTTTGGGGCCGATACCGATATTAGGGAGTAAAAAAAATATTCTTGCGCCACCCTCCGCGTGTCGGTAGCCCCCGGGATCGCTAGATCGGTCGGCGCCGGACCGCGAATTTAACCACCCGTAACTCCCGAACCCCGGGGGCTATCCACGCGGAGGTGGTCTCATTCGAAAGAGGGCCTCGAGGCGTACACTCGATTCGCGTTCGAGAGGGTTGCTCTAGCTGAAGGGATCCCCCGAATTTGGTGCGGAATGGCCGTGCCGTTACGGAGATATGGCCGTTCAAAGTTTCAATGGTTTTCCATAGACTTAAGCTTTAAAGCGTTTCATCCAGGTCGCCAGTAGCAAACAATGGAGCGCGCTCTGCTGGACAAACTAAGCAATTACACCATTTCAAGCATTTTATCTGCATTACATGTTCTGTAAAAAAAATGTTAATATCGGCGGCATATTCGCCGAAACCGATATATCGGCGACAGGCTCATATCGGCCGATAATATCGGCAAAACGATATATCGGTCGGGCTCTAGTTATTATATTATTTTTACACAGAGATTGTTAGGTCTGTTAGTAAAATCTGTTGACTTTAGCAGTCTTTGTTGCATTATACGCCAGTGGTGGCTATTCAAATATGGGAAAAAGCACTTTTCAAGTTTTTTTCTCCAAAGTTTGCGTGTCTGTAACTCAAGAAAGATATCTTAATGCCCTTTTAGATTTTGAGTTTTAACAAACTTTCCTTTTGGTGTCTTAATTTTTAAGGCTCTACATGGTTCATTTCCAGAGATATAGGGCTCTCAGTATAAATCCAGGAGTAAACTGTTAAATTGTACACATTTTCAGTGGTCAAAAACCAAAAGTTGGTCACTTTGCATACAAATTATACTTTCATCTTTTATAGGAATATCTGAAGAACAACTAATGTTGAGAGTAGAAATGTATCTTGCTTCCCTCTATCAAAATAATTGCAAAGCTCATACCTGTCCGAGTGCCATATATATTTTTTTCCTAAAGTTGTGTGCATGTAACTCAAGAAGTATTAAAGTTATCTTAGATTATGGTTTCTAATAAACATTTCTTTTGGAATCTTCATTTTCAAGGCCATATATAGTTCAGTCCCAGAGATATGGGGTTCCCAATGTTGCTCCATGTCCAGATTGTTGAATATTACCCATTTTCAGTAGAGATGCACCGATTGCAATTTTTTTGGCCAATTCCGATTTCCTATTTTTTGTTAGTGTGATCTTGCCGATTCCGATTTTCTTTCTAAGAACTATAATTGACAGCATATACAAACAAACGTCTACTTTTCTTCAACGCAAAGTTTTATTTTCATTAAAAACACAAGTAAAAAGTCAGTAATAAAATAAGAACAAATAACATTTTTTTGCAAACAACAGCACAAATAAATGCAATAGAATAAAGAGAGCTATGAAACTAAGTTTTTCAGTTAATTTGTTTATAAAACGTTCGTCAACGAAATGCTGGGAACAAACAAACTGAAGGAGTGTATTTGGCACAGAAATACTCCTCATCCAACTCGTCATACGTCCAACTCGTTTTTTGAAACTTTGGCCATGTTTAGCATGAGAATCATGCTAAACGAAACAACATTTTACAACGAAACCACGTCACACACCAAGGCCTTGAGTGAGCGGCGGCCAGAGGATTCGACGAAGGAGCGGCCGGCGGGCTTGCGGCAACCACATGTGATGACCCCGGGCTGGACTCCGCTTCGTCCA